CTTGATGTCAGGCTTTCAAGACCAGCCTGACCAACATGGCAAAACCCCATCTCTACTCAAAATACAAAAAATTAGCCAGGTGTGGTGGCACACGCCTGTAGTCCCAACTACTCTGAAGGCTGAGGCAGGAGAATAGCTTGAATCCAGGAGTCAGAGGTCACAGTGAGCTGAGATCATGCCATTGCACTGCAGTATGGGTGATGGAGTGAGACTCTGTCTCAAAAAACAAACAAAAAGAGCAAAAGAGGATGCTCTGTATTGTGAAGGGACTTTATGTGTTGTATCATCTCACACAGTCCTGTCAAATTCCTTATGAAGTAGATAATAGTATTATCCTTATTTTACAGATGAGGAAATTGAGACTAAGTTTCTGGCATTTAGTCATAATCACATAGTTAAGATACAGCAAAACAGGGACGGGAACCCAAGTCTGTGTGACTTCAGATCTCAAGCTCTTGCAATTTTCCATAGGTCATATTGCCCCTTTAAACATGGATTCAATAAGTGGGGTTGGTTCAGGCCTTACGGGGCTTTACTGTATCTAGGGAACTCTGGGTCAGTTGGGGAAATATTATTTAATTACCATCCATCCAGGCCTCTGAGACTTAGGATTAAGTGCTCCAGGGGAGCACTCAGTCAAGAGTATGAACTATAAGTTCATGATGTCTCTTTACCCCAAGACATTGTCCACAGGTCCTGGGGATGTACCAGGTGCTAACTACCTATGAGACAGCTGAACAATCAGGATAGCCAGTCTGGCGATAAGCTGCCATCGAAGGGGGCTCCCAGCAGCATGCCCAATAAGCAGATGGTGACTCCTCTCAGACAAGGGCTGGAATTCTAAGAGTGGCTTCCCTCCCTGCAAGACGGAAACATCTCTAAGCACTAGACTGTCCAGGCCAGGTAATGCCCTGTCCATCACTTGGTACTATGACTTCCAGATCAGAGGACAAAACGTTCCTGGAAAAGCCCAAATCTTCTCCTGGCAGAAGATTAGAAATTCCAGTAAAGCCAGGTGTGGCTGGCTGATGTCTGGGACAGTATGCCTCCCAGATTGCAAATATGTTGTAAATTGCTCATCAGCTTTCCCCAAGGGGGTTGCCCTAGTCTATCCCTCTGTACTCAGTCACTTAGAAGACTGACTAGAAAAAAATGCTTGCCAAGAACACGACGGTGATTCAACTGGAATTATGTTTGAAAATACATGCAGTCTATTTTTATATATAAAACATACAGTCATTGTGACATTGACTCAACCAGCATTCTAGTACTTGGTCTGTTCTCTTCTATAGTCCAATAATCACTGGTGATAACGACGACCTAGAGGCCTTGCAAGAACCTCATGTTCTTTCTGAATCATCCAAAAAAAAGTCTATTATGTTCAGTCTTACTTTAGTACTTTGTACATGTTGCTGGATTTTAACTACATGAAAATTTGTAAGTCACTCATAAGATATATAGTAGCCATTAACCAAAATATTCAATTCACCAGCCCAAACTGTTTTCTAACCATGGTAGAGGACGTAGAGTGAGTTCCTCCAACTGAGGCCCTAACTGGGGCCCTCAAAGCCTTTTTTCCTGAATTCCCCGAGGATACAGGGAGCTCAGGGCTGCAGAAAGATGGTAGCTGCCTTTGGGTTGCCCACCACCTCATTACAGACAGAGAACTGGCATTTTTCTGGGCCTTTCTCTAAGCTAAGAACCTTTCTGGGCTCTCAAACCCAGGGACGATTCTGTTGTATCTGTTGAATCTCTCATATATAAATGCAAAGGTATTGACCTTATTGGCCTTATCTTTTTAATCATCTGTCTATATTTCCCCTCTACTAGATTGTAAGCTATGTGAGGGCAAGGATCATAAGGACCATGTCTGTTATTCATGGCTGCATCTTCTGCACCTGGCACATGATGAGTGCTTGATCTGTTGAGTGAATAAGTATAGTAACTTTGGTGAAGCTACTGATAAAGCCCAAGAAGGACTCTCTTCCCTACTATGTTCCCATTCTCCTTTTTTTTTTTTGTTTCTGAGACTTGAAGGAAGGTGATGTTTTCACTTTCCCACTTGCTGCTTTAACTTCATTCTGCAGGCCCAATAGCCTGAGCCCTAAGTTGGGCTTGCTAACAACTAGCAGCTGCTGTGGTACAAGAATAGAGCTGGCCAGACCTCTCCCTCCCTTTCCTGAGAGACCAGGACCTAAGTGGGCTGTGGCTTTGGACCCTGGGAGAAAAGCCCAGATGAGGTTGGGAGGATGCCTATTCTCTACTGGCCTTTGTTAAGGAACAACAGTTGGTATTGGGGCTTCTGTTCTGGGATGAAAGTAAGGCCTGGTGTAGGAAATTGCTTTCAGTTTTGGACCTTGGTCCTAAAAGTCAACAATACCAGGAATTGATAATCCCTTCACTGTAACCTGAGCAGAGGTCTCCTCAGTGGTGCCCTTCCCTTTTTAGAGGCCATGAGACAAAATGTGCACACCAAGTCCTAGAACTTTGCTGGGGCAGTGACAGCTCAGTGAACTCAGGTAGAGCCATGAGGCTCATTCCACCCCACTCCACCCACTAAGAGCACCAAGTAGTCCACAAATCTAAGAAATGGAGTCCAAGCATTAAACCATACACCTGGGGAGATGATGCCAAGTTCAAGTTCTCATGTTTCTGACCAGAAGAGATAGGGAAGGAAGAGCAGAACTTTCTTTAGGTCTCTGCCCCTGAGCTGATTATTTCTACCCCAAGAAGGAGAAGTACTGCAAAAACAGAGACATCACAGTGGTCCGCCTGGCTCCTGCATGGACACAGTGGCCCTGTGCTAGAGGCAACCTGAGCCCCCATATTTCTGCAGGCCCAAGACGGTTCCCAGGAGCCAGGAAGGTGGCGGCAGGGGGGTGTTCTAAAGCCATGCTTAGCCCATAGAGAATGCAAGGAAATAGATTTGCCTTTGGAAAAGCAACACAGAATGTTGGAATGTGTTCAGTGAGACTGCAGTAACACAGGAAGCACATATCTCTCTTGTGCTTGGTGCCACTATCCCCAGAACCCCAGAGCCTCCTTGGTGCCACTATGCTCAGAGCAAGGGGAATACTTGGGGCTAGCATTGGCTAGGGTGCTGATGGGATAACAAAAACTGTTTGTTAGACAGGGTGGGACTACAGAGCCACTTCTAGTGCCTTTTGAAAGTGTATTCCCCCCGAATAATCTTCACTGTCATATTTTGTCCTTGGCTGGGCTCCAGGTTCTTCACTTTATCTTCCCTTTTCCTTTTCTTCCTCTCTAGCCTGCTCAGTACGAGGTATAGTTTACTTGGATGGAAATAGAGAGAGGAAGACCAGAAGTAACAGTGATAATGCTAATGTTGGCTTTTCCATCATTCAGCCATCTTTAGGTTTGCTAGTATGGCCGCCTCTTCAGAGCTGTTCACCTGGAGACATGCAGCAACTCAGCCCCCTGGTTTCTCACTATTCTGTCAGTTCCTTTCCTTTTCTATGTGGAATCTCTTTCTTTCTTTTCTTTTAAATTTCTTCCTCAACCAAATTATGGAAATGTTGAATCTCTTTCATATGCCTTGGGACCACCTATCCTTTCCCAAATCTGTGTTTGGCAGATTGCCATTTAGTTCCTTTAGACAATGTCATAAGATGTAAACTTAGCTATGTCATGATGATAGGGATGAAGAGACAAGAGATGAGAAGATGTGTATGGGTCGGGAGTGTCCACAGCCCTTTAGGTCTGGGTCATCCATCAGGAGTGTGTTTCTGCTCTCAAACACCTCAATCGAGATCTCATCTGACTACTGTTTATTTGTTTGTTTGTTTTTCAGAGGGAGTCTCACTGTGTTGCCTAGGTTGGAGGACAATGGCAGGAACTTGGCTCACTGCAAACTCTGCCTCCTGGGTTCAAACAATTCTCCTGTCTCAGCCTCCCAAGTAGCTGGGATTACAGGGACCCACCACCACACCTGGCTATTTTTTGTATTTTTTTTTTTTTTTTGAGACAGTCTCACTCTGTCACCCAGGCTGGAGTGCAGTGGTGTGATCTCTGCTCACTGCAATCTCCGCCTCCTAGGTTCAGGCGATTCTCCTGCCTCAGCCTCCCAAACAGCTGGGACTATGGGTGCATACCACCACACCCAGCTAACTTTTGTATTTTTTGTAGCGACAGGGTTGTACCACGTTGGCCAGGCTTGTCTCAAACTCCTGCCCTCAGGTGATCCACCCACATTGGCCTCCCAAAGTGCTGGGATTACAGGTGTCAGCCACCATGCCTGGCCTATTTTTTGTACTTTTTATTTAATTTTTTTTTTTTTTGTAGAGATAGTGTTTCACCATGTTGGTCAGGCTAGTCTCAAACTCCTGACCTCAAGTGATCCACCCGCCTCGGCCTCCCAAAGTGTCATCTGACTACTCAGAAAACCATAGCCTTGAAGAAAGAAGAAATAGTCAAGCAGCAAGGGCAAATGGGCTGAGAGTACTCAGCATGTGAGGAGTGCAACTACTGGGTGTCTGTCTTAGATTCACTCATGATTTGTGGGTGCTGGGTAGGGGACAACTTACTGCATCTGTGTTAGCCTTAGGTCTAATATGTGGAGTACCTGCTCTTTGAGCCACCTCATTTTCCTCCCACCTTTATACTCATTTTCATCTACACTTCAACTGAGCCAGAAAACCTGCAAATATCCTCTAGCTCTCTGCACCTGTAAAGCTTTGCCTTAGATCCAATGCAATTATTTAATCAGCTCTATTTATGTTTGCTGTTTTAATCATACATTCATTGGCTGACTCAATCACAATGTTGTCACAGGTATCCTCTGTAGAACAGGTACATGTGAAGGCCAGCTGTCTTTCCCACTGGGCTGTGCCAGCTACGATATGGTGCTACAGTGTTGGCTCCTGGCAAATCAGGCACTGTGGGCACGGGGTGAACACTAAGGCAGAGAAGTTCTTCCCTCCGTGTCTCCAGGGTCCAAAAGGCCTCTGGCACACCAAAAACCAACCGAGGTTGAGCCCTACCTGCCTTGATCATTGGAGGTGGAAGTGGCTGGCTGGCAGGCCTGGAGAAGACCATCTTCCTGGAATCCAGCAGGAGGCGGCAGTACCCCGCGATCAGGCAGGCAAAATTGGTGGCTTCGGGCCACTCCATCAACAGCACCAGAGGCTGCAGAAGAGAAGGGAATAAACATGAAGACATGGGAAGGAGGGAGACAGATACATTTCCAGAGGCATGGTAGCTAGGAAAAGACGACTTGCATAGTTACAGGAACCATACTTTCTGAACCAAAAACTGAGGCACATGGCTCGACAAATAGTTTCTTCTGATTTGAGAATTTCTTTGTAATAACCTCTTATCCAGGTATCAAAATTAAATCAACCTTTACTTATACATTTAATGAACTACCTTTACTGAAAAGGACTAAAATTATATAACTTCATGTGACTGCTATGTAGCTGTATTTGTGTTTGCCAGGGCTCAGCAGATGTACAGGCCAGCTGGGAGAGCGGGGGTAAAGCTAAGAATCTAGGTTAGACTTCAGAACGGCCTGGAACACCCTCAATTCTAAGCCCCTTGGATGCAAGAGCTATGTCTTGCTCATCTTCACATGTCCCTTTAACACCCAGAACACCTCCCTGGACATAGAGGAATCTCTGTGGAATCAAGTCGTAACTCTGCCTTTTGAGCCAAAGTCTTTTCGGCCTGCAGCTCAGCTTGGAGTGTCATGCTCAGCTGGGCATGGTGGCTCACACCTGTAATCTCAACATTTTGGGAGGCTGAGGTGGGCAGATCATCTGAGGTCAGGAGTTTGAGACCAGCCTGGTCAACATGGTGAAGCCCCGTCTCTACTAAAAATACAAAAATTAGCTGGGCGTGGTGGCAGGCACCTGTCATCCCAGCTACTCAGGAGGCTGAGGCAGGAGAATCGTTTGAATCAGGGAGGTGGAGGTTGCAGTGAGCTGAGGTTGTACCACTGCACTCCAACCTGGGTGGTAGAGTGAGACTTCATGTCAAAAAAAAAAAAAAAAAAAAAAAAAGAGTGTCATGCTCTATCCCCTTTCCTTTATTTCTCCGTGTCCTCAAGATGTTAGTCAGTGTTTCTTAAAAGAGCTCCTTGGTCAAATATGTTTGTGACATTGGGTTAAATAACACTAAGCAGACAGATTTACTATGAGAATTCTTAAGACCTTTTAATATATAGTTGTGTACCAGGAAACCTCAAAAGACAGGCTTTATTATTCGAAGTTTTCTGAGTTTATTTGACCTCAAATATCTATCTTTATTGAACATCTCATAGTAACAAGATTGTTGTGTTATTGTTGTTGTTGTTGCTGTTAACCCACCTTGGGAAATACTGGCATACATTGTTGACTTCTGTTCCTAACTCTAAATCGGTCAGATTAGTCCTGGGGTTAACTGGTTAACTGTTTAGAGACCAGGCAATGCTATTCAAGAAAATCAGCACCATTTCAAGAAAACCTACTAGTATCTGTATTATAATTTTAACTGTGGCTTGATTAAGCTTGAGTGAGATTGAAGTCAGCCTTGGGGACATTCTCCTTGTAATAGGGTAGTGGTTTCCAGATAAAGATCACTGAAGACTGGCTAAAGAGGGAGCCATGGGGCTGTGGATCACCCAGACCAGGTATTAAGAACCAGGAGAATTAGGCAGGGGAAATGAGGTCCTTCTCTGACCAATGAGGAGGCTACTGCAACAGTCTAGGAGAGAGGTAGTTAGGGCCTCCACTAGGGTGGTGGCTGGTCCAGTAAAAAGGAAGGGACATTATGAAGACCTGTTAGAACTTGATCACTAACTAGATTAGCCTTCTTTGTCTGAATCACCCTTACCTTGGGCACAATTCTGATTCCAAACTAGCTCAGCTGTTAGCTAAAGTTGCACCAGTTTTCTTTTTTCCCAGGATTCCAACAGAGAGTCTGAGATAAATTTTGTAGTTCATATGGGCCAGGGGTCTACACACATTTTCTGTAAAGGGCTAGAGAGTAAATATTTTACGCAGTGCGGGTCACAACAATTCTGCCATTGTATATAGTGTGGAAATAGCCACAGATAATCTGTAAAGTAAACAAATAGGCATGGCTGTGTTCTAATAGAATGTTATTTACAGAAACAGGCAGTGAGTCAGATTTGACTCGTGGACCATAGTTAGCCACCTGATCTAGGAGTGAAACTTCTTTTTTGCCTTTTTTTTTTTTTAATAGAGACATGGTTTCACTATGTTGCTCAGGATGGTCTTGAATTCCTGGGCTCAGGTGATCCTCCTTGGCCTCCCAAAGTGCTGGGATTATAGGCATGAGCCATAGCACCCACAGAAGTGAAACTTCTTCACAGCTAGAAACAGTTCATTCATCACACGTCTCAAGTTATTACATCTGCCAACAGCGATCACCTTTGGAAATTCTTCTCTTGGCTTCTCTTTTTGTGAGCTGTGTTCTTGTTCTGTAATCTGACCATCTTCACCTCTCTTTGGCTGGCTCTTCATGTGCAGCCTCCTCACCCTAGCTATATCCTAGGCTCAGTCTACAGCCTTCAATTCTCCATCAGGGTGTCTGCTTTAACCTCCATGCTGGCGATTCAAAAATCAGCATGTCCCTTGAATTCAGTCTACTCCCTTCAATTCTTTTCCCATTGCAGAAATCATATGGTGCTATGTCTATACTACACAATCTTGCGTTGGATCAAATACTAACTTGGATTCTTTCATAGTTATTGTACATCCAATTACAATGCATGCCACCATAAGGCATTTGGACTTTGCCCCATAGGCAAGAAGTTAGTGATGCTCCTGTGAAGTTCATGCAATACCATTAGGAGGAAAAAGGAACACTTTTTACCCTGAGGAACAACTGTTTTTTTTTTTTTTTCCAGTGAGAAAGGGGCCAGAGATGAGGTACTACTTTTTAGTCATTATTGGAAAGGGGTAGAGGAGCTGTTCATACCTCCAGAGAGTGAATGCTTGTCAGTCACAAGACAATGGCCAAACTGGCATACAGAAAAAAAAAAAAAAGTATGAAAAGGAAATGAACTTGGGGGCCAGGGAGTCAGATACCCCCTTCTTGCTGTACCCCCTGCTACTGATGGCAGAAGGATATACAGATACAAAGGTTTGGGTGTAAATGGTGGCTACCACCATTACCACAAGGGCCCAAGACTCACTAGGCTTGCCTCAGGAGCATTCACATCACAGCCATCCCTACTGCCACCATTTCGTTTCAGGACCTTATTGTCTTCCTCCCAGATCGAAACTCCTCAAGGTACATGTGAGTGGGTGGCCAATGTGCTGAGACGCTGAGCCTCTCGTTTTCTTAGTCCTATTGCTTCTGGCCACAAGCTGCCTCATCTAGTTTTTATGTATGCCTTGTTTGTCTGTATGTTTTGTCACATAAAGTGTGATATTTCTCATGATATGGAAAAGGTTGGGACACACTAACCCAAAGACCTCCAATAACCTCCTGACTGGTCTTTCTCCTTCTAGTTTCTACCCACTTGAAGCCACTTCACCTCCGTATTGTTGCCTGAAGTTTCTTTCTACTTTATTATTATTATTAGTAGTAGTAGTCATAGCAGTAGTGGAGACATGGTCTTACTATGTTGCCCAGGCTGGTCTCAAACTCCTAGCCTCAAGTGATCCTCCCACCTCAGCCTCCCAAAGTGCTGAGATTACAGGCACGAGCCACCATCCTCGGCCCTGAATGACCCCATAGCCTCTTTCTTTCTTTCTTTTTTTCAAGACAGAGTCTTACTCTGACACCCACACTAGAGTGCAATGGCATAGTCTCTGCTCCCTGCAGCCTCTGCCTCCTGGGTTCAAGTGATTCTCTTGCCTCAGCTTCTCAAGTAGCTGGGATTACAGGTGTGTGCCCCCACACCTGACTATTTTTTGTATTTTTAGTAGAGACGGGGTTTCACCATGTTGACCAGGCTAGTCTTGAACTCCTGACTTCCAGTGATCCACCCGCCTCAGCCTCCTAAAGTCTGAAGGCTCCTTCTAAAGCACAAGCCTCATTGTCATTTAAAATCTTCAATAGCTCATCACTTGTAGGAAAAAATCCAACTGCCTTACAATGACATAAAAAGCCCTTCAGGACCTGGACCCAATCTTCCATTAACTCTACCGGTGCTCCCCTCCCATCACTGTCCCTCACCTTATACTCCAGCAATGACAAAGTATTTACAGTTCCTCATGTTCTTTCACATCTTCACACCTTAACCTATGCTGTTTCCTCTGACTGAAATGCTGTTCCCTGCTTTGTCCACCCCACAAGCTGCCATAAAGTGGCTAGATGCCTCCTGGAGAACATGATCAAGTGAAAGATGCATCCATTCATTCCAGAACTGGGCCAACCTAGTTCCTGCCCTCATGGAGATTACAATCGAGCAAGAAATAAGACATAACCCAAATCAAGTAACCATGCAAATAAATATAACTGTGAGGTGTGATAAGTACTTTGAGGAAAACGCATAGAGAGCTACCCAAACGTAGAATGTCCTGGAGTGGTACGTGGGTGGGTAAGTGTGAATGTGTGCGTGTGTGACTAATTTGGTTTCAGAAGCTGGAGACAGCTTTCAGAAAATAGCATCGGCTGGCAAATATAATGTGAGACCGTTTGACCAAAGTAGAGGCCGAATGGCTGGCTGACTGATGAGCTGGCTGGCTGCAGAGCAGTCTGACTCACTCATGCCCTGGTTGACAAGCCAGCTCAGGACAGACAGAATGTCTAACAGCCTCACATTCTGACTGCTGAGCTACCTGGCTGGTTGGCTGGATGGCTAATGGGCAGAATTACTGACTGGAGGCTGTGAGAATGGCTGATTGACTTAATTGTCTAACCACTTCAATTTCCCCTCTTACTCCAATATAGGCCAGTGTCAGTAATAAAACAGCACGAACACAAAATCCTGTGCACAGAGAGGGCCAAGCACATCCCCAGCTGGCTCAGCACAGCACAGCTCATCAGGAGCCTCTCCTTGGCATCCCCAGACAGCCAACTTGGCCCCAGCATGGGCCAAATGCAGCTCGCAGTAAAAGGAACACAGATGCACTTTTTGCCAACAGAAAAATGAAATTTTTGCCAACAGGTAAAAATGAAATCAAAAGCAGGCAAACAAAGAGCTTGGACAGGTTCCTTAGAAACCTTCAAAAACA